CACATGTCACATCTTATCTAGACCCTGTTAAACAATCGGGGGTTAACATAACACATCTGTTTACTAATGTGTATTTTTATGTTATTTCAGTATCACAGAGTTGAGTCTGTTTTACGTATTAGGAGTTAACATTTCACAGTAATTTGCTACTATAGAACTTAATCTATGCATCAAGAGTTCGAATCTCTCTCTCTCTCTCTCTCTCTCTCTCTCTCCCCTTTTTCATGAAGAACACAAACGTGAACCCTTTGTCACAGATATATTTTAACCTTAGCGTCTCCACTAACAACGCCTCATATTGCTCTTTCATGGCGGCAGATGTACAGCTAATCATATACATTGAAATATCCTCAAAATATGCATTGTTTGATACCTAACTGCAAATCAACCTGGACACATGAAGGGGTGGGAGCCATCTTCTGTTATGGGATTCTTTCAGAATCTTTGAAATGTGCGCTCTGTTGTAACTAGTGTTGAAACCGTAGTAGATTTTCAATAAATCGTCTCTAATCCCCTCGTATGCTTTGTCCTTCTACTCTCTTAGACCCCAACACCTCGCTTCGTCATCTCTCTAAATAGTTTCACTCCTCCTGTGTCACATAAGCTAGTTTTCGTTTATCAAATAAAATATGTTACAATGTTGAACCAGTTACTGGACATGGGGCAAACACAAGTGACGCTAACCGATTTATTTGCTGGTGTCACGCGCAGAACGATCGATAGACAGGCCAAGTCAACTCTCGGTATGTGACAACCCCGCTGGATGCGGATAACTTCACTTGGAGAACAGATTAAAGGTTTTATGTCTGTCGATATTTTAACTTATACAAGTTTCTGTCGTCTGTTCGGGGTATTACTTTCCGTCGCAAATGGCGATGGTGTCAATCCAGGGTCATATGATAGTGCCGCCACCCACCTGGACTTTCCACCCAGTGGGATTCTGTAGAAGTGTCGCACTGTCACACCGGGATAAAACATGTCTACTCTATTCATCTCCGAACTTTTCCCTAATCAAAGATCTACAGAGCTTGATATATGTCGTCAGACAATAAAAAATTACAACTGCACATACCTCAAAAATTGCAAACATAAAAGCTTTGTCGTGATGTACAAACTTTGTTTTATAAGGTAATTAAATCTAACAGCGTTTTATTAGATAGGGCAACGTCCTAGGTTACTGTATCGAGGATGACGTTACTGGGTTCATTTATTGAACACCCGCAAAGATTTAATGTTAAGGATTAAATAGCTCAAAATGTGTTAGGCTAAGAATCCCCACAAGATTTTGATGACGATTGCGCATTCCTGGGTAAATATCATGGATATATGTGGTGACGGGGCTTAAGATATTATTCTGACATTTTTTCAATCTATTTATCGTGTCGTGGAGTGTTGATCGTATTGCGCATGGCAGTAGGGTTTATAAAACTGACCGTAGTACTTGTCGCCTTAACACAATTCCTTGGGGATGAGATGGCAACCTTTCGTTTTCTGGCGACCATCTTATTAGTAGCAGTTGTTACAGAAGCGATATCGTTGGCGAGAAAGGATGACATTGATGACCAACAGCAACCCACCATATACCAGGAGCAACATGACGTGTACCACGTACAATCTGACTTAAAGAGAGCGGTCAAAGCACATAATACAACGCATGGAACACCACACCCTGCAACACACAACGTCCATAACGGAACACATACGACATGGCACAACGTCCCTAACGGAACACAAACGGCGGGCCCCAACGTCCCTAACGGAACACAAACGGCGTGGCACAACGTCCATAACAGAACCCAAACGGCGGGCCACAACGTACATAACGGAACACAAACGGCCGGACACAACGTCCATAACGGATCACATACGACATGGCACAACGACCATAACGGAACACATACGACATGACACAACGTCCATAACGGATCACAAACGGCGGGGCACAACGCCCATAACAGAACACATACGGCATGGCACAACGACCATAACGGAACACATACGACATGTCACAACGTCCATAACGGAAAAAATACGACGGGGCACAACGTCCATAAAGGAACACAAACGGCGGGCCACACCGTCCATAACGGAACACAACCGGCGGTGCACAACGTCCATAACGGACCACAAACGGCGGGGCACAACGTCGATAACGGAGCGCAAACGGCGGGGCACAACGTCGATAACGGAGCGCAAACGGCGGGGCACAACGTCGATAACGGAGCGCAAACGGCGGGGCACAACGTCGATAACGGAGCGCAAACGGCGGGGCACAACGTTCATAACGGGACACAAACGGCGGGGCACAACGTCGATAACGGAGCGCAAACGGCGGGGCACAACGTCGATAACGGAGCGCAAACGGCGGGGCACAACGTCGATAACGGAGCGCAAACGGCGGGGCACAACGTCGATAACGGAGCGCAAACGGCGGGGCACAACGTCGATAACGGAGCGCAAACGGCGGGGCACAACGTCCACCACGGAACACAACCGGCGGGGCACAACGTCCAAAACGGAACACAAACGGCGGGCCACAAAGTCCATAAAGGAACACAAACGGCGGGGCCCAAAGTCCAGAACGGAACACAAACGGCGGCGCACAACGTCCATAACAGAACACACACGGCGCTGCACAACGTCCATAACGGACCACAAACGGCGGGACACAACGCCCATAACGGAACACATACGGCGGGGCACAACGTCCAAAACGGAACACAAACGGCGGGGCACAACGCCCATAACGGAACACATACGGCGGGGCACAACGTTCATAACGGGACACAAACGGCGGGGCACACCGTCCATAACAGAACACATACGGCAGGGCACAACGTCCATAACGGACCACAAACGGCGGGGCACAACCTCCATAACTGAACACATACGGCATGGCCCAACGTCCATAACGGAACACATACGGCGGGGCATAATACTGGACATAACACGGCGCAGCATGGTAAGATATATGTACTTTACTTGCATTATGCATTATTAATATTTTTGTACTATTTTATTCTTAAGATCCCAGGAAATAACTGTCCTTTATAGGACTTACCTTCATCTTATCAAACGTCAGAAAAGTCATAAATGTTTCTATCATGTCAGCACAGTGTTCGTACCTTATCTGTCTTTTCTGCATCCAGGCAGGTGTTTGGTAGCTTTTCTCTATACCCATCCGTTCTTCTATATGACCGTCATGAACATAAGAAATATAAACATACCAGACACTTCGGTTTGTTACTTCATCCAACTGCTGAAATGTTCCTCCGGTGGCTGTGACCATGACGTTTTCTTTCCCCGACTTTCTCATATGTATGTTTCTCGAATTCGAGGTTGTTCTTGATGGTGACATTGAAAACAGTTTTCCAAATCATTGACAAAGTAAGATGTGTTTATCAATTTGTAACCAGAAGAAGAAATTAGGCTTGAGCACAAACTCCATGCTTGAGCATGAGAACGGTTTCATGAATACGGGCCCCCAGAAGTTCTAAAATTGTTTTCCTGTTAGTCGTAATGTGACGTCTGCTATACGTTGGAAACCGCGTCGTTTACCAATATATGTACTCTCTATTCTTTCTACCAAGAAGTCGTAGGTCCATTTGACAATTATACCCGTTACCCCTTACACCTTTTAATTGGCCTTTAAGTGTTCTGTGTTATAGAGTATCAAAGGCTTTAGATAGTTACAGTTTACTAGCTAGGTTTTTATCGTTGGTTTCATTGTCCGCTTCTTCGTCTTGAAGCTTTGTACTTTAAAGCATAATGATTACTTTTACCGAATAGGCGTTCTAGTTCTTTATTAACTTTAAGTCTTGCGACTTATCAGTGTAGATGTTCCAGTTCTGAAATCCTGTTTTTCTCGTTACTGAAGAATAAGTCCAGCACACACATCCTGTCTCTCCTTTGTATCGGTTTTGTAACATGTTGGTGTCGGCCAATATCTAAATCTCATTCCATGAATTTGTGCTGTTGTGGGGTTGTTGTTTGTGTCTCCATTTCCGTTCCAAGTGACCCAGTTGATGGCTGGGAGTTTGAAGTTCGTCTTTGTTTACATATGGGACTATTTTTGTTTTGCTTTCCTGAGAGTAGATATCCATGATATTACAAAATTATCTGGTAATTGATAATTGAATTACAGTGACCAGTGCCCCATATAACTTTCCAGCAGTTGGATTTCACGTCGTCCTTACTCCGGACTATCTGACCGTTCCTCACGATGAAACCGTCGTCTTTGACCATTCCTTGGTAAACGTAGGAGGCGCATATGACATCACGCACGGACACTTCACGGCGACTGTCTCGGGGTTGTACTCCTTCACAGCTAACATCGAATTTAGAAGTTCAGACACCGCTACGCTGGACTTCTCCATTGTCAAAAATGGAGACAGTATTGCTCGTGTATATGTGTATGGATCGGGCACGAGTATTAGGACGGTAGTCGTGCTCCTAGATGTCGGGGACATTGTATGGCTGAAGAACAACGTCGACAACCACCCCAGAATGTACGGAGAGGGGCTCAGCACCTTTTCTGGGTTTCTAATTGCGCCTGTCCATTAACTGTAAAATGATGAATGACCAAGACGGATGTCAAATTCGCAATCAGGAAGATTATACAAAACGTTGATCCAATCATATCACGGCATATCCTAGAACGCAGTGTTTGATCCAATCAGATCACGGCATATCCCAGAACGCAGTGTTTGATCCAATCAGATCACGACATATCCTTAAAAGCAGTGTTTTGTTTAAACTTTCTTTTTGTGAAATTTACATTTTTTGACTCTGAAATAGTTTATATTTAAACAAAGTGTATCTAACTTGTGGTTTTTCTGAGAACATTAATTATTATTTACTTGTCGTAAATTCAAACTCACATTAACAATGTTCTGATTACTATCTGATTTTTCCCATTTTGAATATTTTAATTTTGATGTCGTTTTGAACAGAGACCTTAAGTAAATTTAGGTCTATGTTTTGAATAAACAGAGCATATAATTTACACAAAACATGTTGCTAGTGTTATCCTTTATATGAAGGAAGTCTCAAGTTTTCTCCAAACCATGTAGGTTGGAAGTTTTATTTCAAAAAATCCTATTGGGATCATTCGCGTCCCTTGAATACAGTGCAGAATAAAAGCGGACTTATAATTTGAATACAGTTTACAAAATCCGTACGATTTTGTACTTAATCTCAAAGTCTTCCTAACAAAACTTAAGAACGTTTGAAGTCTGTCGCATGCTGTAAAAACCCAGAGGATATATTCTGATAGGACTTTATTCGAAATGCTTGTTGTTTTCAATATTTCGAGTGCTAAAATACGCCAAATTCGAGCTGTTTGTTTTCAGTTCATGCTCATTTTTTCTAAGAAAGAAATGGACAGAACGTTTCAATTGCTAGTCTACATATATTCAAATCGAATGAAGTTTAAGGCCGTAAGCGCCTCTTTGAGGGGCGGAACACGTTTGAAGAAGTGGAATCTCCCCACGGTTTGAGTGAACTTGATATGATAGGAGTTTGTTTGAATTTGAAGTTAGTCCATGTCAATGAAGTAAGGGCAAGTTTTATGATGAGACAGGATTTTATTTATACCACTGGATCGTATAGCAAAACAATCAAGACTACTTTAGATCTATGACTTTGAATCTAACGAGAAAATTTATTTCAATGTACGGTTTCCTGATATAGTTTAAAGCAAAAACAGAAAGGCGGTGGACGCCAACTATTTATCACAATATTAGCATGGGTGGGTTAAGATTGGCTCCCTGACATGGAGCCAATTTCCAGAAGTTCCCAACGTGTTTCAGAAAGAAAGTCTGATGGTTCAACTTCTAAATCACTATCATCATCCTCCAAACTTGTGGAGATACCCACATTTCCAAACTTCAAATTATGTTCATAGATTTCCAGTTTTTCTTTAACATGGGAAAAAAAACCTGCTTTCTCATCAGGTGCCTTAGAGTGTGGTATTCCACTTGACAGATATTTGTAATTAACAACAAACCAAGAAGCAAGTATGGCTTGTGTGTTGACTTTGCCTTCCACAGACACTAATGAAATGAATGAGCTTTCCAGAAGAACATCTTTCTGTGAATCATAGAAATACACGACCATTCCTGTGTTTGCTACTCCAATGCAAGGGAACAGAAAATGCCTACTTTCAGGATGCCTTTGTTTTTGAAGAAATGAAAAGACAATTGTCTCTGACATTATCTGCTGATTTCTTGAGAGATTAACATGTTTTAATTTTACTTCAACTGTAGATTTACCACCTGGGCTGTCTGCTTTGCATTCAGAAGGATAAGACACACCAACCGTGTCATTGTCAACAATTATGTCTAAGTTTCCATGCCAGACTTCTTCGTTTCCTGTAAAAATGTCCAAAAAAAAGTTCAAGATAATTTAACAACATCACTAGTCATGCTCCATCCATGGTACAATTTGCAAATAACATCTAATCTTTCTTGAATCAATTTTTTTTTTCAAAATGTTTTACAAGGAATAACACAAATATATATATACATACATGTATGACAATTACTTCAAAGCAACATATGCCATCATGCTCCAGTATTTTTTGTAGTATCATCCAAACCATAACAACCTTAAAAGTGTAATATTTTTTGTCAATGAGGATAATTTTTGCCACAGCTAGTTCTTCTGTCATTCAGCATTTTTAGAGAAAGCTGAAGGCTATCACAAACTTTCAATGCAAGTTTACTGGTGGCCAATATTTGATCAATCTAATGATGCACTTATATCATATATGTGCCATATACTGATCATGTCATTAAGTTTACTGAAGATCTTTTCAGTTGTTACTGAGAAATTGTTTCTGAGAAAAAGTGATCACAAGAATTGTTTATTGATGCATGTATATGCGCTGACCATAGAAGATCAAAGTACCAAGGCCACTCATAGGTGCTGTGCATGAGGGATTGAAATAAAGGAGTAAAGCAACTTTATTTGCAAGTAGTATATAAATATACAATAGGCCCAATGGGCCTGTATCGCTCACCTGCTTCTAATGCAACTTTGAAGTTGATCTAGGTTATTATATGCAGATGCTAACCTGATAACCACTTGATTAAAATGTTAGAGTAGGCCAGGTTTATTCATTTGAATTTATTTTGTAGCCCTTCATTCTAGATTACTACTCGCCCAATCTCAGGTCTCTGGGTCTCTTGCAATTGGTTATTGAGATGTCGTCGTTTGAAGATTTTGACACATTTGACCTTGTGACCTTGAAAGTCGATCAAGGTTCAATTAATTAAAATATACTTGGTAACCTTTCACCCCAGCATGTTACGGACCAAATATCAGGTCTCTGAGCCTCTTGGTTATTACCAAGAAGTCGTTTAAAAGATATAAGCCTATTTGAAACATGTGACTTTGAATGTAGGTCAAGGTCATTCATTTGAACAAAGTTGGTCGCCCTTCACCCCAGCATATTAAAGACACAATATCAGGACTTTGATTGGGCCTCTTGGTTATGGAGAATGCAATTTAAAGATTTAAGCATATTTGACCCCAGTGACCTTAAATGTACGTCAAGGTCATTCATTTGAACAAACTTAGTAGCCCTTCACCCCAGCATGCTACAGGCCAAATATCGGGTATCTGGGCCTCTTGGTTATTGAGAAGAAGTCATTTAAAGAACTTAGCAAATATGACCCCTGTGACATTGAGAGCAGGTCAAGGTAATCCATTTGAACAAACTTGGTAGCCCTACATCCGAGCATGCTATGTGCCCAAAATCAGGTCTCTGTGCCTGTTGGTTATTGAAGAAGATTTTTAAAGAATCTAGCATATTTAACTCCTGTGACCTTGAAAGTAAGTCATGGTCATTCATTCTAACAAAGTTGGCAGCCTTTCATTCCAGAATATTGCCACAGTCCAAATATCAGGTCCTGGGGCCTCTTAGTTATTGAAAAGAAAATGTTTAAAGATTTTAGCATATTTGACCCGTGACCTTGAAAGTAGGTCAAGGTAATTCATTTGAAGAAACGTGTTAGCCATCCACCCCAATATCAGGTCTCTGGGCCTCTTATTTATTGAGAATAAGTTGTTTAATGGAAATGTTGACAGAATATGTTTAAAATAATTGGTATGAAGTAAAGATATAGCACACTATGTAGGTGCTGTAAGTACATATGAAATTTCAGAAAGATCCATCCAGTACTTGAGATATAGCGAGAACAAACTTCAAACAGAGCCCCACCTTATGCCCCTAGGGGGGGGGGGGGGGGTCATACCCACAGTTTATACAAAATTGAGTCCCCTTGCCCCAAGTATGCTCTAGACTTAATAAGGATTAAATCCTGTCGTCTGTACAGAAGAAGGTATTTGAAGAATTTGCTATGTTTCTGCTATTGGGCCCCGCCTTTCTGCCCCCAAGAGGACCAAACTCACTTTTTATACAAAATTGAGTCCCTTTTGCCCAAGATCCACGAGATCAAATTGGGAAGAAATCCCTTCATCCCTATGGTAGAAGAAGGATTTTAAAGGTTTACCTCTATTTCCCCTATTCGGCCCCGCCCTTTGTCCCCTTGGAGACCACACCCTATGCTTATACAAAATTGAGTCCCCTTGGCCCAAGGATGCTCCAGACTAAATTCGGATAAAATCCCTTAATCCCTATGGTAGAAGAAGGATTACCCAATTTGACCAAAATCCTGTCATTCCTACAGAAGAAGGATTTTGAAGAATTTACTATGTTTCCACTATTGGGCCCCACCTCCCTTCTGCCCCAAGGGGGGCCACACTTGCTGTTTATAAGAAATGGAGTCCCTTTTGCCCAAGGATGCTCAAGACTAAATAAGGATAAAATCCCTTAATCCCTATGGTAGAAGAAGGATTGTAAATATTTTACCTCTATTTCCCCTATTGGCCCCCGCTCCTCAGGTCCCAGAGGGGCTACACCCACCGTTAATACAAAATGGTTCCCCTTTACCCAAGGATGCTCCACAACAAATATGGTATGGACCAAATCCATTCATTCCTACAGAAAAAGAAGGATTTTAAAGAATAATTTGCTATGTTTCCCCTATTGGGCCCTGTCCTCAGGCCCCTGACCCATGGTTTATACAAAATTGGTTCCCCTTTACCGTAAGATGCTTCAGACCAAATATGGAACAAATCCTCTCATTCCTACAGAAGAAGAAGGATTTTAAAGAATTAGCTATATTTCCCCTGTTGGGCCCCGCCCTTCAGACCTACCATTTATACCAAATTTGTTTCCCCTTTCCCCAAGGATGCCTCTGACCAAATTTGGTCAAAATCTACTTGGCGGTTCAGGAAAAGTAGCGTTTTAAAGGAAAAGTTGACAGACAGACGACGGACGCTGCGGTATGGTATAAACAAGAGGGCCTGTATCGCTCACCTGAATATTAAAGCAGTCATAACAAAATATTCTCATTAAATATTATATTGCACTAAAAATATTTCCCTCGCAAACATTGTTGGCTCCATCTGTTGAAACTACCAGCAAAATATCATTATAAGATTCTATGCTTTTTGATTCTTCTTCAGAAGTTGCTTGACGTATTTTTCCCTGTGACCTTGTAAGTAGGTCAATGTCATTTTCCTTCTCAAATTGGTTAGCTCTATTCCAAAATGCTACCAGCCAAATTTTATGAATCCGTTCCTTTTAGTTCTTGAGAACAAATCCTTTAAAATGTTGTAGACCTCTGTGATCTCTAAAGTAGGTTGAGGTCATTTTCATTCACAAACTTTGGTGAGCTCTATCCCAAGAAGTCACCAGCCAAATATTATAATTTTATGAATTTTAATTCTTCAGAAGTAGTTTGAACCGTTTGACATATTTGAACGCTGTGACCTTGAAAGCAAGTCAAGGTCATTTTCATTCGCAAACTTTGTTTGGCTCTTTCCCAGGAAATAACCAGCCAAATATTAAGGTTCTATACCTTCTAGTTCTTCAGAAGAAGTTGTTCTAAGCATTAGACATATCTGCCTCATGTGACCTTAAAAGTAGGTCAAGGTCATTTTCATTCGCAAACTTTGGTGAGCTCTATCCCAGGAAGTCACCAGCCAAATATTTAGGTTATATAACTTTCAGTTGTTCAGAAGAAGTCATTTTAATCATTATACATATCTGACTCCTGTGACCTTGAAAGTAGGTCAAGGTCATTTTCGTTTTCAAACTATGTCCCAGGAAGCCACCAGCCAAATATAAAGATTCTATACCTTTCAGTTCTTTAGAAGAAGTCGTTTGAAGTGTTTGACACATTTGACCCCTGTGACCTTGAAAGAAGGTCAAGGTCATTTTCATCCTCAAACTTTGCCGGGCTCTATCTCAGGAAGCCATCAATCAAATATAAAGATGCTATACCGTTTAGTTCTACAGGAGAAGTCGTTTGAAGCTTTTGACATATTTGACTCCTGTGACCTTGAAAGTAGGTCAAACTAATTTTTCATTCTCAAACTTTGTTGGGCTCTATCCCAGGAAGCCACCAACCAAATATACAGATTCTGTACCTTTTAGTTCTTTAGGAGAAGTCATTTGAAGTTTTTGACATATTTGACCCCTGTGACCTTGAAAGTAGGTCAAGATCATTTTCGTTCTCAAACTTTGTCGGGATTCTACCAACAAAGCTTTCAGTCAAATATCATGACTCTAGGCCTGTCCGTTCTTCAGAAGGAGTTGTTTAAAGGAAAAGTTGACGGACGAGGACGGACGGACGACGGACGCCGCACTATGACATAAGCTCACTTGCCCTTTGGCAGGTGAGCTAAAAACGTGATACAAATTAAATTAAATTATTATGTAACACATATGTATACTTACCGATACTTGTATCTGCAAACTGACCAGACAAACTGCAGTTTTCTGAAGAACATGGGCAATGCTTACTTTCCTTAGTACAGTTTTTATCAATTACATACTTGGATGATGTTGCTAATTTTCCATGTAGGTGATTAGCCAAAACCATGGTGAGCTCCGTTTCATTGAACTTTTCTAAATTTTTCAGCAGCAAATGTGCTTCTACAAAAAAGAGAAGTTTCTTAAATCAGAATCAGATTCACTCAGATTCCAGTTTTTGATACTAAACAGAGTGCTAAACCTATTCTAAAGGCCATCTGTATGTACACTGTATAACAAAACAAGAGACCCAATGGGCCTTTAACGCTAACCTACTTCTAATGCAACTTTGCTCAGCTGATTATGACATTATTCAAATATAAGAATATTGAAAAGTCATAATTTAAAGATTTTAATATATTTGACCCCTGTGACCTTCAAAGTAGGTCAAAGTCATTCATTGGAACAAACTTGGTAGCCTTTCATCCCAGCATGCTACAGGCCCAATATCAGGTCTCTGGGCCTCTTGGTTATTCAGAAGGAGTCTTTTAAAAACAAGGGGCCCAATGGGCCTGCATCGCTCACCTGGTATTAATATCACACTTGTAATCTTAAAAGTGGACTAAAATACAACTAGAGGCAGAATATCAGTGTTTGATTCATAAGAACTTATTAAAAGATTTAAACATATGACGCCTGTGACCTTGAATGTCGAACAAGGACATTAGGTTGAACAGAGTTTATAGTCTTCAAACCCAGCATGCTTCTAGCAAAATATCATTACCCTGGACCTTTTGGTTATACAGAACAAATCATGTAAAGATTAAAACATATATTGACCACTGTAACCTTGAGTATGGGCGAAGGTCATTCATTTGAACAAACTTGGTAGCCCTTCATACCAGCATGTTAATGGACAAATATCATCACCCTTGGCCTTTTGCTTATTAAGAAAAAGTCATTCAAAGGTTATTCAGAAGAAGTTGTTTAAATGTTTTGTACATATTTGACCCCCGTGACCTTGAATATAACTCAAGGTCATTTATTTGAACAAACTTGATAGCCCTTCAGCCCAGCATGTTACTGGCCAAATATCATCACCCTAGGCTTTTTGGTTATTCAGAAGAACTTGTTTCAAAGAATTTAACATATTAGACACCTGTGACCTTGAATTTAAGTCAAGGTCATTTATTTGAACAAACTTGATAGCCCTTCAGCCCAGCATGTTACTGGCCAAATATCATCACCCTAGGCTTTTTGGTTATTCAGAAGAACTTGTTTCAAAGAATTTAACATATCAGACACCTGTGACCTTGAATTTAAGTCAAGGTCATTTATTTGAACAACCTTGGTAGGCCTTCATCCCAGCATGTTCCTGGCCAAATGTAAGCACCCTAGGCCTCTTGGTTATTCAGAATAAGTTGTTGAAATGTTTTGAACATATTTGACCCCTGTGACCTCGAATATTTGTCAAGGTCATTCATTTTAACAAACTTGGTAGTCCTTCATCCAAGCATGTTAATGGCCAAATATCATTATCCTAGGCCTCTTTATTATTCAGAAGAAGTTGTTCAAAGATTTTTTAAGACAATTGACCCCTGTGACCTTGAATATTTGTCAAGGTCATTCATTTGAACAAACTTAGTAGCCCTTCATCCGAGCATGCTTCTGGCCAATTATCATCACTCACGGCATTTTGGTTATTCAGAAGAAGTTGTTTCCTGTGACCTTGAATTTAAGTCAAGGTCATTTATTTGAACAAACTTGGTAGGCCTTCATCCCAGCATGTTACTGGCCAAATGTAAGCACCCTAGGCCTCTTGGTTATTCAGAATAAGTTGTTGAAATGTTTTGAACATATTTGACCCCGGTGACCTTCAATATAAGTCAAGGTCATTTATTTGAACAAACTTGCTAGCCCTCCATCCCAGCATGTTACTGGCCAAATTTAAGCACCCTATGCCTCTTGGTCATTCAGAAGAAGTTGTTTAAATGTTTTGAACATATTTGACCCCTGTGTCCTTGAATATTTGTCAAGGTCATTCATTTTAACAAACTTGGTAGTCCTTCATCCAAGCATGTTAATGGCCAAATATCATTATCCTAGCCTCTTTATTATTCAGGCCTTCGGGCCAGGTGAGCTAATAAATGGTATATTTTACACTGAGTAATGAGATAATTACGCCACTTATTATATTTAAGCAAAAATCAAGATGACATGTATATATATGCCACCAGCCAATTATAGGACATGAAGATTATCATCAGGGAAGTTCCAAGCATCCCTTATCATGATTCATATTCAACTGTTGCTGTGATTTCGGTATTAGACAGCATGTGTCAATTGACCCATGTTTCTCAAGAATATGTCTTATACCTCTAGGGTCTGAGAATCACATATGGATCACATAAACAATAGGTTTGAAACGGACAATAAGCTACAGCCCTATAACAAAAGTATTTGCGATTCCTGCCTAAGCTGGTATTTTCTTTAAAGATTTTCCTTGTAGCGTCCATTGAAATGTAGGGATGTCATATCGGATTATGTCGTCTGCTACCGGTATTCGATGTAAAAAAAAACAGCTGTCAAAATGGGGAGGAAGTCAACCGAAATCTTGGATAGCATCAAAGAAATTATTGTAGAAATGAAGTCATGATCAGCCAAACATTAAATGTCAGAATAGGTGAAATTAATGGGAATACCGGAATCTACCATCCGTACCATCTGGAAAGGTATTTAACAAGATCAAATGTACAAAATAAACAACAAATCAGCTGGCCTGTCATGACGGGACAAAACATGGTCACTTCAGCACACTAAAACCAATAGAGGGAGATTTTAAAATAATATTACTAGTATTACTTGAATGAAAGACTACATCCAGGAAAAAACAGTTAATTCACGAACTGTGCAAAGATTTGTACGTTAAATGATATGAAGCGGAGTTGTCAGAAAGAAAATGGTGGTTTCTGAAGTCAATCGGAAAAAAATTATGGTGGTGTCTAGAAAAACATCGACTTTCTGCTGATCAGTATAATACTATTGGACTACTGTGATATTTTCAGATGAATCTCAAGTAGTTGTTGGTGATAATATTAGTGTTTTTATTCAGAGAACTGCCCGTGAATGTTACTTGCCCCAGTGCCTGTGTCCTCCCAGACAGCGACGTGTGTTAACGTTGGGACTCAATGCAAAGTTGATGGTAATATAAATGTTCAGAAATACATTAACATTCTTGACAACCATCTGTGGCCAGTTATTGCCCGTCATTTTGCTGATGGAGGTTACCGATTTCAAGACGACAATACTTCTGTGCATCGGGCACATGTAACGAATCAATATAAGCAAAACAACATCCCTAGCATTACATGGCCAGCACAGTCTCCAGGCATATATATTTAATACATTATTGAAAACTTATGGTTGAATGTCAAAAAGACTTTACAAAATCAGGCTTGGAATATCAACACAACTGATGAGCTTTTTGCTGCCATTTCGGACATCCGTTGTTATTTTCTTTTACTTAATTGGTCAGTATGTGAGATCCCTGTATAATTCCATCCCCCCTGACGTCTGCTGGCAGTTATATAGAATCGTTATAAAGTCTAAAGTTCACCACACCAAATTGTAAGTAAATTTGTTGATGTCACATTGTTTCATATTTGTCCTCCGAGATGCACCCCCACCCCTTGTTTATGTCCGCCATATATAGGCCTATTGGAAAATCGTGAATACTTTTGTCATCATCAAATCTTTGCAAATGTTGTTCGTTCGCCACTTCCTAGGTGCCAATTTCCGGTGTACAGGTCAGGTCAAGTACACTCTGCCGATTGAGCTGTATATTTATTGATATTCGCTTTCCGTGAAATTTCAAAGGTATTTTGATACTTACTTTTACATATGGCAGAGTTTACAAAATAACACAGATTTAATGAATAATTAAAATTCAAACACAGATGTTATTTAACTTGATTCATTGTACCCCTACGGTCAGAGATGTTAGAATGTTGACTACAAAAGCATACATTTAGATGTTTATTTTCATTTTTCATAAATGTTAAATTTTCGATTTTTTTACATCATTATTTTTTAAAAGAATACTTTTATTTAATGTTTTTTATTATCAACCTAATGATAAAATCTTCTTTTAAAAGCGACTTTGTTAAGTGTTTTTTTTTAAAAGAAAATCACATGAAAATAGCTCAAAAGACCTATTTCAGGTTAAGGTCATAATAGAGCTATTATAGGTCTTTACAGCTATATACAATGTAACTCAATCGGCAGAGTGTACTGGACCTGCAAGTATACACAGTGAAAATATTTTGCACTCTGGCGAAGTTCCTTAATTATTACATTTATTATGTCAAAATCGATCTTTGACAAATGAACGTGTTAAACACCGGGGTGTACCAACCTTTATCAGATATGAAGATCAACAATTTCCTCAAGATACGTTTCTCTTGCAAGTCCGTTGGTACATGGCGGTCTTTTAAAAATGCCTTTAACATTTTGATGCCATCGACAAATACGCTGCCAAACAACAGAGTACGTGACCCAAGCGTAACACTGCAGTAAGCTTTTGTAAATGGTACCCCGCCATTGTAGTCTGCGCCGTTGCAGTTTAAAATCCTCAGTGTTTTGAAAACATAGTCGTCCTCACAACACAGAGTCTCGAGATGTTTTGCTAGACGCCTTATCAATTTCTTAGGGAAAGTTGTAAATAATTCATCTTCACCGTCATAATAATCGTGTCGTTTCTTAGTTGCTGTAACACCCGACGTCGGGTCGTCAACTCGTCTTTTACTGCATGTAGCCATTACGTTCCGGAACACCGGAAGAACGCAATATTGTGGCGCACATGGATTGAGTGAATGTGGCACATTGCACCTCTGTAATATTAATTCAGCTTTTCTAGTTCAAGTATTACGCTTTTATTGAAGAAAATGCGGAGTAAAACAGGTAAAAGTGTTTATAATTATATATATGGAAGTGAAAGCATTAAGTAATTGAAGATATTCTCTTATTTTGTTGCATTTATTTGAAAACGAAAGTAGAACACTTTACTTATATAAATCTGTTTATCATCAAAGATAAGTATTACACTTGTATTTACTATCACAGACAGATATTTCACTTGTATTTACTATCACAGACAGGTGTTACACTTGTATTACGCTTGTATTTAGTATCACAGACAGATATTACACATGTATTTACTATCACAGACAGGTGTTACACTTGTATTTACTATCACAGACAGGTATTACACATGTGAGTACATTGTACTTTAACACACATCTACCGTAGGTAAGTTTACTTCGCTGTACTAAAATACAACTAGCAATAAAACATGCTAATAGCAGTTACAAGAACTAATGGTTTATACACTGTAAACTACTTGTTTTACATCACTGTTTGTTTATATTCTGTATACTATTTGTATCTTTATAAGGATTAAGTCCTGTACATGGTCTGGCGAGGTATATGAGATATAAATCCATGGGTCTTGAGACATAATGAGTTATAAAATGCTTCTTCACATCTAACTTTTCTCAAAGCCAATTGAAGGTTATACCCTATCAATTCAACAGAACAGAACTTGTTTTAATTTACATTTAGTATAATTTTCATGATTTTTGTTTTATAATTTCTAAAATATCAGTCTTGTATAAGTGTCTGACTCATTGTGTGGCATCATTAAGAAAGATAAAAATCTGTTACCTGTAAGTATAAATTACAACTTTAGAACAATACAATATATAAATACATATATTTCAAGCTGAAACTTTTGAGAAAAAAAAAGAATCTTAAAGTTATAAGAAGGTATGCATTCTGCACCAATTTTCTGTCTTACTCATACATGTATGCCAACTGTAAAGTTTATAGAAAAATCAACCACAGACCCTTTAGTAGATATATATATATGTAGTAGGACGAGGAATAGTGATAAAGTTAGTGCCGTTGCTGGGGCTCGAACCCACGACCTTTGCCTCTCCAGCCCAATGCTCTACCACTGAGCTAAAAGGAAATTCCCTACAGCTGACACTTGTAATTAAGGCAACCTAATCAATGCACATCTTTTCCATATATATATATATATTCAGTCCAACTTCAGAACAATGTAAATATTACTCTGTATTACTCTTTAAGTGTATATATATACTGTGTAATATTATTACCAATCCAAATTATATTATAATGCTGTTTAGTGTATACATTGCACATATTACCTCTCATAATAAACTCTGCAGACAACTACTGTTTACATACTTAATACTTAGTATGTGTTCTCTACATACATATACTCTGTATATCAACTTTTTACATAAATAACAAGACGCTGTATATCAACTTTTTACATAAACAACAAGAGGCCTGATCAGGAACAGTTCATCTGATTTTTTTTTATTTCAATTGAAAACCTGTGAAATGGCATACTCTTTATATCAAGTGTATGGGTTCCCTATATAGATAAAAGAAGTCGTTTGAAGTGTTGAAATATTTGACCCCTGTGACCTCAAATATAACTGAAGGTAATTTTTGTAAGCAAACTTTGTCAAGCTCTATCCAAGGGAGCTTAAACAGCCAAATATCATGATTTTAGGAATTTCATTTCTTCAGAAGTCATTTGAATTTGTTTACCTATTTGACATCTGTCACCTTGACAGTAAGTCAAGTTCACTCTTGTATTTCAACCAAATGTACTATGAAGTATGCATCCTTAGACCTGGGAGTTTTAGATGTTATGCAAGAGACCAAGAGGGCCTGTTTCACTCACTTTTAGTAGGATGTAGTGAAATATCCTCATTAAAAAATATATTGAAGTTAAGACACTAGGCATAAACTCACATTGTACCATCAGACCAGGTAAATAAATAATGAAAGGTGTAGCCCCAATTTGCTACTGATAAGCAAAGCTAAAAATAGCTTTAATAGAACTATTGATGAAAGGATTTTTCAATGATTGCACATGCCTTCTGGATGACTTGTTTTCATTGACAGTATATATTATATATCCTATATCTCTTGACAAGAGAAGAAATAATGTTATTACTAAGATTATTAAGTTAAATGAGGTGTGTAAAGAAATCAGAGAACATGTATAAAAGTGTGATAGTATATGTA